CCACGCGCGCTCGCGCAAGGGGGGTCGCGGTAGCCGAGGCATCAGCACCGGGTTTAGGTCTTGAGTGCTTCGTTGGGAGTGCCGGAATATAATGCTGTAGATGCCGGAACGAGCGACAAGGTGGGAAAATATAGTCCAGGCGAGGGGGGGGTGGGGGGGGGATAGGGGCGGGTAGGCGCGGTAGATGCACGCGGAAGTCCATGGAGCACTGGTGGTGTTTTTGCTGCCATGTTTGCCTTGACAATAGGGTAAGATTTTCTCAAGGCGGACAAACCGTGTCGCGGCTGCTGCCCAAAAACATAAATATCAGAAGAACAATGGTGTGGTGGGTTGTGCGCGATGAGCGGCGCCCTTTAGGGTTAACAGGTGCATTTCCGGAAGGAGACTCAATCGTATGTACACATCATCTTTGCCGCGTCCTGTTAAACATGAGAGTGGGACCTGAGAACGTGGCGATTTTTTCCTGCGAGGGCCTGCTGCTGAAACATGACGAACAAAAAGCGCGAGAATTAAATGTGGCTGGGTGTGGAAATAGTGCTGCATTACTGCGTGCGCAATGCCGTTGTTATTCCCCCCCCCCCCCTCGTTTTCGCGCGCAGCGCATGAATTGGCCACCTTTGTGTGTTTGTATCGAAGCAAGGCGTGAGTGGGGGGCAGGGTGGGGCGGGCGGGGTACTTCGCGAGCGAGATTTCTCGTTGCGTATTGGAACCGCCGGGTTAATCCGGTGTGGTACAAGATACTGTTTAGCTCGCGCCCGCCCAGATACGCGGGTGGTAGTGTCATTGATGAGCAAGAGGGAGCAACACCCGTTGGACCCGCAAGTGAAGTAATTCCCGGGACTCTGCATAGCTCTACTTCGTCTTGGGCGCAGAGGACGCGTGTCTAATAGCTGCTTCTTTCTCTGCTAGTGGGGGCTGTTTCGAGTTATTTTTCCGTGGGTGCTTGCTACATAGACGTGCAAAATTGTAGTTGCAAGGGTTGCGGACAACGATATAAGGGGGCTGTAAGGAAGAAGGAGGGGATTTTGCATTATTGGTTTGCGTAGGTAGCCCCAGCCGCCGATGCGGCACAACAACGTAGGGGGGGGGTACGTTTTTTTACAGGAGACGCCCCGGGGCATTTACATATGAAAGATTTTTTAGTGGTTAGGGGGGCCCCGGGGGGGGGGGGGGGGGGGGTGACGCGGAGGACGCCACGCCAAAGACAGATTACCCGCGACCATGTCCCAGATGACTCTTTCTTCTATGTGAAGTGATGACACGAGGTCGCGGCCGTACCTGTCGATGAAGCGCTTGCATGCAGTAGCGAGATTTTCTCATGGGGCGAGAAGGCGAGAGCTTTGGTTTGGTTGGATGGTGCTTGCCTCGACCGACCGACCGACCGGGCAGGGCCTGCTTGCCTCAATGCAGCGTACAGCAAGATATACCTGGAGAACGCCAAGCACTGCTACTGTTCTCTGTACCATATATATCTCTTTCTGAAGACGAGAAAAAAGTTGTCGCGGCGGACGAGGAGGCAAACGACGGGAGATCTCTCACGCATCAATTGCCCCCGGCCCTACTTGTAGCACGGCGTCGGACGGCGGAATAATATCTTCTTTAGCTTCATCCGTGGACGCAGCAACAACCATTGTTGTCCAGAAAACCTCATGATTGTAGATAGTCCCCCTCGGAGAAGGAAATGTGATGGTCGTTCCGAATTTCGAAACGTTGCCCCCTTGTGCTCTTCTTGGCTGTGTTTTTGTTCCCGTCCCACTCTTTTGCCACCTTCGGTAACTGAAAGACCTTTTTGCTTCGTCTTCACCGGAGCGAGGGGGGGGGGGCGGGGGGGGGCATGACGGTATTTTTTGGTCTCTCGATGCCATTTTCCTTTGTTTGCCGTTTCAAATAAATGTTTAGACTAGGTCTACATTTCTTGTGAATAGTATGCATGCGCAGATGATGTTTCATTTGAGGGAGGACACTCAAATTCTATCTGTCTGTGCGCTTGAAATACATCTATTTTGCCTGCCTGCCCTTTGAGTCATTGAATCGACTCCTGCTGTAGCCTGTAGCCACAGAGCTCTGAACAACATGGTGAGATTTTGACCACCCGACCGAGCAAGTTCAGTCAGGATTAGATCTACGTTACTTTGTTTTACTTATTTCTCTTGCAGAAACAAGATAAATATACACTCATCCATCTCCATCTCCATCGTCAGAGAAGAGTTCAGGATGAAGTATCAACGAATCGGACAGCAGTACTTCATAACATGACAACGAAATCATGAAATCACCGTTGTCTCGACGGTCTTACTTCTGCTGCACACGGTAAAATTAAGGCGTTGCACTTTTTGGTTCCGCCGCCTTTTTGGGGGGGCATCCGCGACCCCCCCCCCAACCGACCTGTCTGCTGCGGTCTGCGGCGCGGCAGAACAACCGAGAGGAGTGGCAGCGCACAAAACCACTACACTCCCGCTCGGTGCATGTGGGAGGCCTTTTCTGCTGGACGGGATTGCTGCAGCTGAGCCCCAGAGGTATGTGCTGGCCGTTGATTGCCGCCAGAAGAGCCCATGGAGTGCATGCACAAAGTAGCGGGGGCAAAGAATCAAAGACGTGTCTCGCGTGAGTGTTTTCGCTCAATTCAACAGCAGCAGTCAGCTGATGCTGGGGCGTTGGCGCGAAAGGATTTTCGGGAAACGTGTGCTTGGCGAGAGGCTTGCTCTACCCACCGTGTGCGCCGAAAAGCCATGGCGTTGGGTGTATTTTGCGTTGCTTTGTTGTGCATATTTGGCTGTGGAGGTCATGGTTGCACGTACGCGTTCCAAGGGAAAAAAGAGTCGTTTCGTGTGCTTGCTTTTTGATCGTTCGACGAAATGAGCTGCTCGAGGGGACACGGCTTTTGTCGGTCAAGGTTTACAACGGGCGCGAGAGAGAAAACAAGAGTTGCCTCAGCGTGACCTGTCGTTGGTTGGTTGTGTTCCCCTCAAGAACGTGCATCCACGGAGGGTGCTTTTGCACTTGCAGCAAACAATGATGTGTGTCACTTGAGAAGTGATGCAAAAGTACCCGTTTCTTTCCGCGTCCACTGCAGCTGTCTCTTGAATACAACACCGAGGTCGAGCCCACAGCCTGCAGTACAAAAGCATGCATGCCCATCTCGACTACATGTACAACGGTACCGGTGGCCGTCTCCCCTATTTAAGGAATAATAAAAACGCACACAGAAAGACTACCCATTCGAGATATACCCACAGTCGAACGGGATGTGGTGGAGTCTTTTCAGTGAGTGGAGGGAAACCGGCTGGGTACTGGACTTATTTCGAGTCTATACACTGATGATTTATACCAGTGATGCCAATTTTGCAATCTTCAGCCCTAGGCCGGCTATCGCATCTCCCCTGCTCGCAGCGGTACACGCGACTACGGACGAACGTGTGACCTGCGCCTCGCACAACCCTGAACACCATTGCGCAACAGCTCCCTTACACACCATCGTCATGTTCCAACAAACAATGCAGGACATTGCTTATACTGCAGCATGAATGGGTCTCCAAGAGTGGGCTAGGATGCCCCCCCCCCCCCCCCCCC